GCCTGAGCCCACAGGTTCAAGACCAGCCTGGGCAACTTGGTGAGACCTCGTCTCTACAATAAATCAAAAAATTAGCCAGGTGTGGTGCCACACACCTGAGATTTCAGCTTCTTGGAAGGCTGAGATTGTGATGGCCATGAGCGTGCCACTGCACTCCGACCTGGGCAACAGAGTGAGACCATGACCAAAAAAAAAAAAAATCTGGATATTCTGGTCATATTCAAGACTAACTGATTCAGATACTTTCTGGCTGGGACCCGGACATCTGTATATATATATATATTTTTAACTCCTTGATGGTTTTAATGCATAGCCAGTGGACACTCACCAGATAAGTCCATCCATAGAAATATGTTGATGCTTCTTGCATTAAAAAGCATCTGCAGTGGTGAATTTGCTCAGACATCCAGAAGCCTCTGGTTTGTATTCAGTTTCTGAGGGAAAGTATGATGTGACTTACTGTCTCTTTTCTGTCTTTCACTCTCACAGAGGCGAATGCCATCGCCAGCCCTCCCAACCCCCTTCCTTCCAGAAGAGCCCACTCTCTGACCACGGCGGGGTCCCCCAACTTGGCTGCCGGGACATCATCTCCCATCAGGCCAGTGTCCTCCCCTGTGGTGCCTTCTTCAAACAAGAGTCCATCCAGGTGGGGCCTTAACATGACACAGCAGAAAGACCCTTCACATCATTCCAGTGTGGAAGGGCATGTGTTTCCGGTTGTCTAGGGGAAGACTGGCTCAAATTTTGACTTAGAATTCCATTGAAAACTGAAAAACCCAGGATTTTTAAATAACCCTAATTTTGCTGATTTTGGGACTCTACCTTCTCATATTACTTCAAAGGTCAGAAGCAGTAACAAAAACCAAGCTCTGAGACTCTAAATCTGTACTGTCCAGTATAGTAGCCACTAACCACACATGTGTATTTAAGCTCAGATTTAAGTTAATTAAAATAGGCTGGGTGTGGTGGCTCATGCCTATAATCCCAGCATTTGGGGAGGCTGAGGTGGGAGGATTGCTTGAGGCCAGGAGTTCAAGACCAGCCTGGGCAACACAGCAAGACCTCATCTCTACAAAAGATACACAAATTAGCTGGGTGTGGTGGTGTCTATAGAGAGTCCCAGCTACTCAGGAGGCTGAGGCAGAAGAATCACCTGAGCCCAGAAGGTTGAGGCTGTGGTAAGCCATGATCATGCCACTGCATTCCAGCCTGGGTGACAGAGTGAGACCCCAACTCACAAAAATAAAAAGAAGGAAGCAAGACAGGGAATTTACTTCTTTAAGTGCCAATGATGAAGACACCTTTTTCTCTTCCTGAACGTCCACCCTATGTTCCCACACCACATCAGGGAACCACAACCTACAATCTGTGCCTACAAAGTGCTATAAATCTATCAACTTGCAACCTTCTCCCAGTGAGGAAGGTGACCTTCAGATGTCTACACAAAGTAATTTTCCATGCGTGAACATTATTAGCAGTATTGAGAGTACACTGGTTAGTCATTAGAACATTCTCTAGGCTTTCTCACATAATTGAAATATTTCAATGTTGTTTTAATCCAAGACAGAAAAAAAGGAAAAAATAAAGCTCTCGCTTATCGATTTGACTACGAAGCATAGTCAAGACATTTCTTATACTATTGCCAGAGAATCAGTATAGGAAATTTTTTAAAATACTGTGAAACTGCAAGGCTGAGTTTTTGACTGATATTTTCATATTGAATAGATGCGCTTTCGGCAAGTACAGAATTGGCTTCTTGCGTGCGTGTGTGTGTGTGTGTGTGTGTGTGCGCCTGTGTGTGTGTATGGGTGAGTGTGTGTATGTGTCGGAATCTCACTCTGTGACCCAGGCTGAAGTGCAGTGGCACACTCACGGGCTACCACAGCCTCAAGCTCCCAGGCTCTGGCAATCCTTCCACCTTAGCCTCCTGAGTAGCTGGGACTACAGGTGCATACCACCACACCCAGCAATTTTTTTTTTGTAGAGACGAGCTCTGGCTATGTTGCTTAGGTTGGTCTTGCACTTGTGGGCTCAAGTGATCCTCCTGCCTCGGCCTCCCAAAGTGCTGGGATTGTAAGCATGAGCCACTGTGCCTGCCTTCTTTCCATTCTTGTTATTTTTCTGACTCGGGTTTTCCATTAATGTTTAAAAGCTCTTCTCTGTTTTCATGTAGGAACTGGCTTTTTAAAAAAGGAAGCAGAAAATACACTGACGCACTCAAAACTTTCTTTTTAAATGTATTTTTATGATTTAGAATATTAAAAAAACAAATCATTTCCTATAGATTATGACTGATTTGGGACTTTTTTTTTTAGTTGGGGGTCTCACTCCATCGCCCAGGCTGGAGTGCAGTGGCACACTCACAGCCACCCCAGCATCGACCTACTGGGCTCCAGCGATCCTTCCGCCTCAGCCTTCCAAGTAACTGGAACTACAGGCGTGCGCTACCACACCCAGCTAATTTTTTATTTATTGTAGAGACAAGGTCTCTCCCAGTTGCCTGGGCTGGTCTCGAACCCTTGGGCGCAGACAGTCCACTCGCCTCAGCCTCCCAAAGTATTGGGATTACAGGCAATTTGGAACTTTTTAATTATTTTATTTTATTTTATTTTTAGAGACAAGGTCTCACTGTATCCCCAGACTGGAGTGCAGTGTCATGATCCTAGCTCACCATAGCATCAACCTTCTGGACTCAAGCAATCCTCCTGCCTCAGCTGAGACTACAGGCACACACCACCACACCTGGCTATTTATTTATAGAGACAAGGTCTCTATTTTGCCCCCTCTAGTCTCGAACTCCTAGCCTCAAGCAATTTTCCCACCTCTGCCTCCCAAAGTGCTGAAATTATAGGCGTGAGCCACCACACCTGACCTGGGGCATTTTTTTTTTAACAGACTTTTCTTCAGAAACACTGAGTTATTTTGCCCATTGATGTGGGATATCAAAGAACTGTTTTGGTTAGTGGACAAATACTAACCTCCACCTGTGCCCTTATTAAATAGGCAGGATGCTGGGTCTGGTGGCTAACGCCTGTAATCCCAGCACTTTAGGAGGCTGGAATAAGAGGATTGCATGAACCTGGGCAATGTAGTGAGACTGTCTCTATAAAAAAAACAATGTTTTAATAAATCACCAGGTGTGGTGGTTGCACCTGAAGTCCTAGCTCTCTGCAGGCTGAGGCGAGAGAATTGCTGAGCCCAAGAGTTTGAGGCTGCAGTGAACTATGATCGTGCCACTGCACTCCATCCTGGGCCACAGAACATGACCCTGTCTCTAAAAACCGAAATAAAATAAAAATATGAAATAGACTGGAAACACGAAGTTGTGTCGACATATGATATGTTTTATCCTCCGACACAACCCAGACTAATTTTAGGAGACACAAAACCAGAGCACAGGAAAACAGCTCCATCCTTCAGTGACTCTCCATCATCTTTTTTGCTTGTGCTGCTGGTCAGAGAACGTTCCGACGGGGCGGGGTGACGGAGTGGCCCGCTGTTGTGCCCATGAAGGCTTGTCTTTGTTGCAGTGCGTGGAGCAGCAGCAGTTGGCACGGGCGGATCAAGGGCGGCATGAAGGGGTTTCAGAGCTTCATGGTCTCCGACAGCAACATGAGCTTTGTCGAATTCGTGGAGCTGTTCAAGTCGTTCAGGTGCGGCACACGCTTCCCCTCGCCCTTCCTCCTGCCTGCGCGTTTCTGTAAGGATGCTCAACGTGCCCTGTGTGTCCTGTGTCCCTTCCCTCGCTCAGTGTGAGAAGCCGCAAGGACCTGAAGGATCTCTTCGACGTCTACGCGGTGCCCTGCAACCGGTCCGGCTCGGAGTCGGCTCCTCTCTACACCAACCTGACCATCGATGAAAACACCAGTGACCTTCAACCCGACCTAGGTTTGTGGTGCATTTTAGGATTTCCTTTGGAGATCTAGAAAGGCCAGAGATCCCGGTCTGTCCCCCACAGTGTGCCTGGGGAAAGAGAGAATTATTTCAAGGTGTCAACTGGTGTCCCCAGGGCAGGTGCTGTTGGCGTTTGGAGCGAGGAAAGTCATCACTGTGCCCGTGGATTCCAGGATATTGAACCAATAGTCATTCCAACCCCCGCCCCCAGTCATTCTGCCAACGAAAAACCCTCTCCCGACCCCTTCCAAATATCCACGAGGGGCATGGCGTGTCACAGCTGAGAAGCACCAACCTCCTTCCTCCCTCCAAGCAAATGGACATCAGTCCCAGGGTGGTAGCCATCTGCCCTTTGACCGGAAGAGTCTTCAGTACCGTCTGAACATCAGGGATATTTCTCGGCTGTGAAAACCAGACTGTCGTGTTCATCAGTCCTACTCCCCACCCCCATCACCATCACCGCCCACACCTTTTAAGCTTATCTTTTTTCTCCTTTGCTCTTTCTAGAAACGATCAACACACACATCAGAAGCCAAAAGCTTTCCTCTTTTAGGTGTATGTTTCAAGCTTATGTTGTCCTTGAGTCAAGACCATTAACCGCTGTTCAACTTCAGTCATAAAATGTGCATCATTAGGGACGAGTCAAGACGTTACACCTTTTAAAATGATTGAATTTGATTTTTAGAGTAATTTTAGACGATAGGAAAATGAACAGAAAGCGCAGAGTTCCCAGGCACTCTCCTCCCCCGCCCTCCCATACTGTCCTCTGTTAATCACATCTTTCACTAGGGTGGTATCTTTGTTATAATTGAGTCAGCATGCTTGTGTGACTAACTGAAGCCCACCCTTTACATTAGGGTTCACTACTCTTTGTGTTGTGCATTCCATGGGTTTTGGTCAATGTGTCACAACGTGTGTCGACCACTTAGTGTCATAAAGAGTAGTTTCACTGCTCAGAAAATCCCCTGCCATCGATCTCTTCAACCCAGCCCATCTTCCCTCCAAATTCTGCCAATTACACTGCTTTTTTTTTTTTTTTTTGAGTTAGAGTCTCACTCTGTCGCCCTGACTGGAGTGCAGCGGCCGCTCCCAGCCACCGCAGCCTCGACCCGCTGGGCTCCGGCGATCCTTCCGCCTCAGCCTTCCGAGTAGCTGGAACTACAGGCGTGCGCTACCACGCCCGGCTCATTTTGATTTTATTGTAGAGATGAGGTCTCGCCAAGTTGCCCAGGCGGGTCTCAAACCCGCGGGCTCAGGCGATCCACTCACCTCAGCCTCCCAAAGGCATGGTATGACAGGCTGAGACACCGAGCCCGGCCACATTGCTTTTACTCTCCCCGTAGTTTTGCCGTTTCTAGACTGTCACACAGTTGGAATTGCATGGTCCATGGCCTATTCCCACTGGCTTCTTTCTTTCCTGCCAAAGGGTATTTCCATTTCATTCCTCTATGGCTTTTTGCAGCGTGATAGCTCCTATCTTGGTATACTGGGGAAAAGCTGCCGTAGTCTTTAACCATTCACCTTCTGAAGGATGTCTCAGCTGCGTCCAAGTTTTAGCAATTATGACTAAAACTACTGTATATATTGGTAGGCAGGTTTCTGTGCAGACGTAAGTTTCTACCTCATTTGGATAAGCACCTAAGAGTGGAATTGCTAGATCATATGGTAAGCCTAAGTTTAGCTCTGCAGGAAGCTGCCAGACTATCTTCCAAAGTGGCTAAAATTAAAATGACCGACCAAGCCGGGCTGGGTGGCTCAGCCTGTAATCCCGCACCTTTGGGAGGCTGAGGTGAGTGGACTGCCTGAGCCCATGGGTTCGAGACCCGCCTGGGCAGCAAGACCTCATCTCTACAATAAATCAAAAAATCAACAGGGTGTGGTAGCGCAGGCCTGTAATTCCGACTACTTGGAAGGCTGAGGCAGAAGGATCGCCGGAGCCCAGCAGGTCCAGGCTGCGGTGGCCGGGAGCGGCCACTGCACTCCAGTCTGCGCGACAATGAGACTCCTACTCAAAAAAAAAATAAAAAACCAAAGAAAAACAAAGCAAAAAACAAAAACATGACTGACCATATCAAAGTTGGTCTGGATGTGGCACAATTGGAACCTTGCTGGTGGAAATATACAACGGCATAGCCTCTTTGGAAGACAGTGTGGCAGTTTCTTACTAAGCAATGCATGTTTTTTTCCACATGATCCAGTCACCATACGCCTTGGCATTTACCCAAATGAGTTGAAAATTTATATTCACACAAAAACCTGCACACAAATGTTTGTGGTCATATTTTTAAATCACAGAAAAACTAGGCCGGGTGTGGTATGTCCTGCCTGTAATCCCAGCACTGTGGGAGGCCAAGACAGGAGGATCGCTGGAGGGCAGGAGTTCAAGACCAGCCTGGACAACATGAGGCCCCATCTCTACCAAAAAAAGAAAATTGCTTGAATAAATAAATAAATGACAGAAAAACTGTAATTCTAAAAGTGCATCTCCAGTCTCCACAAACATACAAATGTAGAAAGTTATTCTCAAAAACCAAAGTCCAAATTGGACCTCAAGTCCCCATTGAGTCTACATGTAATTCCCATGTATTTCCAAAGCTCGGAGGATTTCAATACGAACAACCCATTTCTTGGTTTCTTTTGGAGCTCACGGTGTGCAGTTATGAAAGTGAAGAAGCGCTTTATTAATCTTTATTTATTTCACTCATCAACCTACTAACTGTTTACTAGTTAAACAAGCCATCAAACTAGTGCTTATTCCTGGCTTCACATAGTTGAAGGAATAAAAAAAAAAAAATCAGCCGGGCTCGGTGGCTCAGCCTGTCATCCCACGCCTTTGGGAGGCTGAGGTGAGTGGATGGCCTGAGCCCGCGAGTTCGAGACCCGCCTGGGCAGCGAGACCTCATCTCTACAATAAATCAAAAAATCAGCCGGGTGTGGTAGCGCATGCCTGTAATTCCAGCTCCTTGGAAGGCTGAGGCGGAAGGATCGCCGGAGCCCAGCAGGTCGAGGAGCGGCCACTGCACTCCAGTCTGGGCGACAGAGTGAGACTCCAGCTCAAAAAAAAAAAAAATCAGTGACCACATCAAAAAAACTGAGGGCTAGGTGAGGATCTTGACATCCCACGAGTGGCCGTCTTGTCTGTTTCAGATTTGTTGACCAGAAACGTCTCGGATTTGGGGCTGTTCATTAAGAGTAAGCAGCAGCTCTCGGACAACCAGAGGCAGATATCTGACGCCATCGCTGCGGCAAGCATCGTGACAAATGGCACAGGAATCGAGAGCACATCTCTGGGGATATTCGGGGTTGGCATACTCCAGCTCAACGACTTCCTCGTGAATTGCCAGGGCGAGCACTGCACCTATGATGAAATCCTCAGCATCATCCAGGTTTGTGCCTGTTTTCTGTATGCACAAGCGTGTGATGCCTCTGACTCTTCCAGCAGCTGGCTGCTTGATAGTCACTCTTCTCTGTCCTTCCTTCCAAACCCTGTAAGTCTGGGGCGTGGACAGGATCTTTTTTTTGAGATACCAAGTATATGTGTTCTTCACTAACATATGATTAACACAGGTCTGACTTCTCTAACTCGGTGACTATTACAAGGAGTGAGTACATCATTTGTTTTGTTGTTTTTATGCCAGCACATGCAACAGAATTGAGTCTAGGTTTTCAACCTCTTTAGTCATTCACAGATTTTATTGGTTTGTATTACTAATAATAATACTATGCTGGCTCCATTCCAGGAGCTGGGAATGGAGTAGGGATTGAAGTCAAAGCTCTGGCCTTCCATGCAGCTTGCATTCTAGTGGGTGAGACAGACAACATACAAAGACATGATGGAATCTCAGGGGTTTGTGGATTAGGGGAAAGATGGAGCAGAGAAGGGAATGGAGTTATGCAGGAGGGCCGAGGAGAGTTGGTATAGGCCGCTGTGAAGAGGGGGCATCTGGACTGAGCCCTGAGTGAGTAAGCCATGTCAACGACACAGGAAAGAGCAATCCCAGCAGGGAGCAGGGCAGCTGAAAGACTGAAGCAGGAGCCAGCTAGGGGTTACGAAGAACCACGAGACACCTGGTGTCATGGGAGCTGTACAGACAGAGGGTGCAGGCATGGCGTCAGACAGGAATATGGGGCCAAATCCTCCCGGCCTTTTAGACCAGGGTTGGCTGAATCTTCCGGGCCTCGTAGACCACGGCTTTGGGTCATGTCAAATGGGAAGCCACTGGGCATTTTTGAGTAGCAAAGTAGCATGATTTGATTCACATTTGTATGTTTTTAAGAGGTTACTCTAACCTGGGTGTGATGGTGCATACTTGTAGTCCCAGCGATGTGGGAGGCTGAAGTGGGAAGATTGCTTGAACCCAGGAGTTCAAGGCCAGCCTGGGCAACATAGCAAGACCCTGTCTCTTTTTTGAAAAAAAAAAATGTTTTTTTTTAAAGGGTTACTCTGGCTCCATTGGAGAATAAACTGTGCTAGTGAAAACTTGAAAGCAAAAAGACTGGTTAGGAGGCTGTCACAACAATCCAAGCAAAAGATGATGATAATTTAAAGAATGGCCAGAGACAGGAGTGGTGAGAATGTTCAGTGTGGCTGCGTGCAACAGAATTCGTCTAGGTTTTCAACTTCTTCCTTTTTTTAAGATTCAAGGAGTATGTGAGGGGGAACACCCCCCAGAAACAGAATTTATTTTTTTAATAGCGTATTTATTCTTATATGTTTCAACTTCAGTCATTTTCAAAGTACTCTTCGTTTGATATAATGCACCTATCGGGATGCTTTTTCCACTGCTCAAAACAGTTTTTTTAATCTTTATTTTAAAGATGTGGGGTACAATTCAGGATTAGGTATACAAGTGGACATCATACAGGTGAAGTGTGGGCCTCCCTTTGGTCGCCACTTCGCCTGGTTTGAGACCAGGTACCCTTATTGGTGAAGTGTGCTGCCCCCCCCGACCCCAGGCAGTTTCCCACTACTGCCAATCCCTTTCTTGTAGTATTAGGATTATTGTTCAGGGTCTGCTTATGAGTAAGAACATGCGGTACTCTGTTCTTTTTTTCTGTGATAGATCACTGAGCATGATAGACTCTAAATCCATATCTAATCCACTTTTGATGGGACAACAGACACATGAAAGAGTACTCAGCCTCATTAATCATCAGAGAAATGCCAATCAAAACCACACTGAGATACCACCTAACCCCAATAAGAATGGCCATCATTAATGAAACAAATAACGACAGATGCTGGCGAGGATGCAGAGAAAATGGAACGCTTTTACACTGTTGGTGGGAATGCAAACTAGTGCAACCTCTAAGGAAAATAGCGTGGTGATTCCTAAAAGAACCAGAAGTTGACCTTCCATACAATCCATCCATCCCTCTTCTGGGAATATACCTGGAGGAACTCAAATCATTCTACAAAAAAGGCATCTGAGCCGGGCTCGGTGGCTCAGCCTGAAATCCCGCACTTTGGGAGGCTGAGGTGAGTGGATTGCCTGAGCCCGCGGGTTCGAGACCCGCCTGGGCAACTTGGCGAGACCTCATCTCTACAATAAAATCAAAAAAATTAGCCGAGTGTAGTAGCACATGCCTGTAGTTCCAGCTACTCGGAAGGCTGAGGCGGAAGGATCGCCGGAGCCCAGCGGGTCGAGGCTGCGGTAGCCGGGAGCGGCCACTGCACTCCAGTCTGGGCGACACAGTGAGACTCCAACTCAAAAAAAAAAAAAAAGATATCTGCATACGCATGTTCATTGCAGCACAATTAATAATAGCGAAAACATGGTGCCTGTCAAAAGTGGACTGGACAAAACAGTTTTTGAACTTGTCAGTTCTGGTGACTTCTGCCGATTCTCATTTCACCTCTTCCACATCGGCAACATGTTTCTTTCTGAGGACTTTTTTTATCCAGGGAAATAAAAAAAAAAGTTTCTTGGGGAAAGATCGGATGAATAGGGAGGGTGGGGTACTGGAGTCATGCTGTTTGGGGTCAAAAACTGCTGAACACTCAGCACAGCGTGGGGCAGGTGCACTCAGAAATCACCCATCCGGAAATGGGTAAACATGATGAAAGAATCTCCAAGAAAACAAATTCGCTGAGGTTGAACACAGCCTCTCACAACAACACTCGCTGGTACACCGATGCCAGTGGGTTCCTAGAACACTTACCTAGCAGTAAGAACACTTACCCTGTACTACAAGGGGCCCACTCTTCAAAAAAAAGATCGTTCTGGGGTTTTTGGGGTCCCCCTTGTAAGTGCTGGTTTGTTATGTGGGTGGTTTTCAACCGTTTTTATCACCTGATTGGGACTCAGTGTATTAGCTGTCCAGCAATTGGATCTGATCACTAAAAATCCTGACATTGTGAGATGACTATCCACTATGGTGTGCTCTCTGGAACATTCTTGAAGACAGGCCTGGTTCTACATGCTCTCTGGGAATTGTCTCAATCCTCCCACCAGCTCCATGGCAGCTGCTATCATTATCCCATTTGCACCTGGATACACTGATACATTTTGTTTTCATATAAGCCAACCTCATTCTTTTCTCTTGCTCCCCCTTTTTTCTCTTAAATAAATAGGCTTAGTATAATAAACTCACGCATAATAAATGTCTTCTTTTGGACTAAAAACTTACCCCTGCATTACTAAATTAGTTCAAATATTTGGTTTAAACGTTTCCTGATGAAAACAGAACCACTTTAAAAAATGATGCAGTGGCTTTTCCCCCTCTTAGCTTCCTTTACTTAAATAACACTTCTTCTTTTTTTAAAAATATCCTTTGCAGAAGTTCGAGCCTAGCATCAGCATGTGTCATCAGGGCCTAATGTCATTTGAAGGATTTGCAAGGTAACCTTTAACATACTTTTTGCCTGGCATTGAAAGCTAGGGTACATTTTTTCCTATGTGGGCTTAACAAAATGCGTTTCTTCTAGGTTTCTGATGGACAAAGATAATTTCGCCTCGAAAAATGATGAGTCCCAGGAGAACATCAAAGAACTGCAGTCACCCCTCTCCTACTATTTCATTGAGTCTTCACATAATACCTACCTCACGGGCCACCAGCTCAAGGGAGAATCCTCGGTAGAACTCTACAGCCAGGTATGAGAGTGTCACTCACAAAGTGGCTTTCATTAAACCTTAGTATTGACGTAACCCCCAGAGTCATAAAAACCCAACCCCAGACTCCTTTGAAGAGCTTACAGAGTAAACTATTATATGCAAAATGTGAGGATAATGTGTGGGAAAACCAGCTATACCTAAGCAGTTTTTTTCTTTACTTCTTTTTGTTTTGTTTTGTTTTCTACCCCCATCTGTACTTAACCTTTATTCTAGCCACCCCCCGAAAAAAACCAAAAAGTATTTGTTTGAGACTCATAGTTTTTAGATCTTCCTAGTTAGTCCAACCTACTCCTACTAAATTTAGATTTTCCCATGGGAAAATTATCTAATTGTTTCACTAAATGCTAAACAAATCAATAAATTATAGTGAGAAAGCATAGTAGAAAATGCAACTTTCTGAAGAGTTATTCCCAAAATCTTGTTTGTTTTGCTTTGCAACTTGCTAGGCAATCAATCCATTGCTATGGTAACCAGCTTTAAAAAAAAATTCTGCAGTTGGTAGGCTGTGTCCCTCCGCATTGGACTCATGGGAAGTTTCTTTGAAATTCAGCAGGCTCTCTGAACTAGAAAAAGCACATCCTTCCGCCCTCAACATCCAGCTTTCAATGCTCTACCTGTCTGTTGTCTCTCTTCTGTATCGTCTACAATCCCATCATCTCTTCAGACTGTTTTTGAGCTCCTACAGGAAGGGTTAATCAGGAAGGAACAAGACCGTGTCCAGGGAAGGGAGTGGTTTGTGTGCACGTGTGTCCAAGTCTGAATATCACAAACATATTTGTTACACAACCCCAGCAGCAATGAGGCCCCTTTGTTCTTCAGGTTAACCCAGATAGTCCTCAAAGCATGGGGCATATTTTTGTCCCAAAGTTTGTTTAGCATGGAAGATATATTTTAAATTGTTTTATCGGGAACCTTTATTATGAGATGAAGATGTGTCCTTAGAGTAGTGATTTTCAAAACAGGAGGTCCGTCAAGGGCCTTCAGGCCCCAACACTGAGATGATCAAGCAACACAGAAGAGGGACCCCTGCCCTGCAGTCAGCTCACCTACATGCTTTGCACATGGGTCTTCCTTTTGCACAGAGCATTCCACAGTTAAAGGAATTTTGGAATCCATTGTTCTATGGGAAAGAATTGAAATGGATAGATAGATAGATAGATAGATAGATAGATAGATAGATAGATAGATTAGCTACTATATATGAGAGGGGACTCAAAAAATCCTGGAATTTTTTTATTCAAAAATTACGCATTTATTCTTATATATTTAAACTTCAGTCACCTTCAAAGTCCTCTCTGTTGAATGCAATACACCTATTGAGATGCTTTTTCCACTGCTCAAAACAGTCGTTGAACTTGTCCATTCTCACACCTTTTCGTGCTTCTGCCGTTTTTTGTTTCACCTCTTCCGCATGGGCAAAACGTTTCCCTTTGAGGACTTTTTCATCTGGGGAACCAAAAAAAGTTGGTTGAGGCAAAATTGGGTGGACAGGGAGGGTGGGACACAGGGGTCATGCTGTTTGGGGTCAAAAACTGCTGAGCACTCAGCATGGTGTGGGTAGATGCGCTTGTAAATCACCCATCATGAAATGGCAAACCATTGAAAGAATTGCCAGCCGGGCTCAGTGGCTCAGCCTGTAATCCCGTGCCTTTGGGAGGCCTAGGTGAGTGGATTGCCTGAGCCCGCGGGTTCGAGACCTGCCTGGACAACTTGGCGAGACCTCGTCTCTATAATAAATCAAAAATTAGCCGGGCGTGGTAGCGCACGCCTGTAGTTCCAG